TTTAATATGAAGTTAGTTATGCAAATTAAATGAATTTCTGAGTAATTCAGTTTTTCATCACATGATATATTTGCTGCAAGACTTGCACTAAAATTGCTTCTGGTTTCTTTACGAATCATACAAGTACAAAATTATACTAACCACTGAAATGGTTTTACTTGAATTTGATAATGATCATCTTCCCTGGTAGTTTTCAAGCTTTCTATAAAAACAGTTAAATATAGTTAGTCAGTTTCAGCAGCTCAAAAATGGGAAACCAAATATCTGTAAAGTTGGATAATAATGGTTGCTCTGGTTACAACTCCGCCTGGAGCCCCTCTAGGGCTACTTCCGATCCCAAACCCGGATAAAGGACGGTTAGGCATGGGGTTAACAACCATATCCCGTAGAAAACCAACTCGCCAAAAAAACGTTAACCAAAAAAAGAATTGATCCGGAAGTCTGAGCAAGATATCTAACAAATTTTTTAATAGGTTCCTAATCGAAGTCACTCCTTATTTTGGATTTTATCACTTCTCTCTAGCTAAATGAACAGGTAGTTCTTAAAGAATTGATGAGTGTTCATGTCAAGTTATTATATCTATTTTTTATTTATCTATTCACTACTTTAAATTATTTGATACTATCTAATGAATTACACTTTTCAAGAAGTAAAATTTCAGTGAAACAATAATATCAGATATTATAGTAATTTTAATAGTTGAGATCATGAGTCGATTGAAGCTAGACCAGCATGGAAAACCTGGGAGCATTAGATGGCCGTTTTGTCCTACTATGGGACTTTTCAGCATGTGAGTATCCACAATAATAGACAAATTATAAAAATGAATATCATCAATGGATTTTAAATGGCGTTAAGAGTAGATAACTTCATTGTCATCAATATTAATCCAACTAATTTACCTTAATTGAAATTTAAAATTAATTTATGCAAAATTTAATGACAAATTGTTATTTAGATAAAAATATCTTTATAATTTTTTAAATGAAAACACTTTTTTTATATAGAAGATATCAGTTTGTTTTTAGTTTAGTTTAATGGATTAAATCAATTGAAGTCAAACAGTATTGCTATTCATATCATTTTACTTATGGGGAAAAGTTAAAAATAAACAAACATTTTAATCGAAATCAAGTAGAACTTATAATTAGTCTTTAAATTTCGTTAAAATTTAATAATAATAATGATAAACTGACGCCAAAACTATCAAAGTGTTACTTTCTTTGTCTATATATTTATACCTATTACTAAGGTCTTAAGTATTTGCATTAAGATGGATAAAATAGCTACTTAGTTAGTGTTCAACCAAGTCATATATATATATATATATATATATATATATATATATATATATTACGACTGTCAAGTTCAAGACACTACTGAATAAACAATTCATGCATTTATAGTTGCATCTTCGTCTACCAATTTTGTCATACGAATTAGTATATGTATGTATATTTTATCTATCTCGATAAACTCCCTTATCCAGTTTTTCTATCACTGTGGTTTTCCCTGTTTTTTCTCTCTCTTTCCCTGTCACTTGCTTAGTGATTTTATTTTTCATGAGGATAGAGACTAAAATACTTTTTCTGAAGAAAATAATACTTATCTTTGGTATATTCGTGGTATCCGCTAGTGCATCTCAACATCAGCATAATTTATAAACATATATATATATATATATATATATATATATATATATATATATATATAAGATTAAAAATAGAATTCATTTTAATAAATGTCAAATATTACTTATACACAGTTTAACAGGATGAAAAATGTCAGCTTGTCTAATTTACAAATAAAAATACTGACATTAAATTGCTTAATACAAACTATCGAAATCTAAATTTTGTGTAAATATAAACAGTCATATATCATACAAGTATAAAGTCTTTAGATAAATTTAAATAAAGCACATTTTATTTAATATTTATTATGTTTTAAAATTGATTCTACAACAGGATTAGTTCAAATACAATCGTCTTTGACCCAATGTAAAATTTATCAGTACTATATAACTTTTAATGTATATCGTAATTTATCTAATTCTATTGTAATCATACTCATATAGGATAATAATAGACTGATAAGTAAAATAAAACATATTTAAGATATTCGGTGATTTCTAGAAGTTCTATCACTCTTTTCTATTGATCTCAGTAAAGAATTATTTTAATGTCAATATTAATTGATTAAGTGTGGAAGTTCGTAGTGTATTATGATAGAGTAGACAAAATTTATGTGTTTTAATAAGGAAGTGAAATAAATATTTTGATGTTAATTGCTTTTTCATACGTTATATTTCATTAACCTAACAAACTGGATTTACGTCTTATGCTTACACTTTATACTGTAAGACTTGTCTTCGAAATTATATAACTTGTGGTATCTCAGTTATTGATAATTGGGTTATTCACTATACTTTCAGATACTGATTTTTGCTAATTTAACTGAAAGATATTCTATGAAAAATAAAATCAGTCAAAATATTGCAATGTTAAGTTATATAAGGATGATAAATTGCCCCTGAATGCCCCGATACGGCCGAGGATGGGGAGGGTCAGCTTTCCCTCTCGAAATGCTATTACATGACCACGTGTATACCACCACTGTCAGGGAAGTCCTACTCACTGCCTTCTCATGACGGGGATGTTGATTACGAAATTGAGAGGACGAAAAGTGAATGTTTTACGCTTTAACCGGGTTAGTGGATACTGAAGATCCATCTAGGGGAGTTGGGAAAACCCTGATTTTGAACCAATGCCGCACATGGGCTCCAGAATCCTAAGGAAACAGATGGCGCATGAAACTATTGTTGGTCATCGGCTACCATGAGACTGCATCTCCCAAAGTTGTTCCACTGCTTGTTGATTAAACCTTTAGGTTAAAGGTTCCGGGTGTGTCTCCTCAAGAAAACCACCTGCTTCGGTATCACAGCCTTCACACAAACCGAATGGTTTATGTGGCTCATATCTATTTGGTGCCTCTTTGTACCAATCTTTATGTGTTCAAATAAGTAAATAATAAATAAATGGTAAATCCCTTTTTCAGCAGAATTCAGTTAATTATGGGGACCATACCATTCACCGTTATTCTCTTGCACGCGACACATTTACTTTGATTTCGTATTTTTTTTCAATCTTTAAAAATACGAAACAGATAATATAAGTGATTCCTCCTGGTCTATATTCACAAAAGTTTTACCGAATTATAGAAAACCGCTGATAGAGTAAATACAAAACAATAACCTTTGAAAATGGAAAAAGCACTATATGTTCATATATATATATATATATATATATATATATATATATATATATATATATATATATATATTCATTTGTATTGATTGTTTGAATCCTCCCATTGATGTTGAGGACACTTATTGGCATATGTACATCTTATGCGGAATGTTTCAATGTTGTCATTAAGTCATACGCATTATAAAGAGAGACAAATGGAGGCTAGTAGAGGAATTCAGGACGCACTGTTCGTCCTATTCGGGACTTGTCAGCTGGATTGACCTGTACCCCAGAGTTGATGCTCACTTCAGGACTTAAGTCCAGAACCATTCACTTCAAACGCCATCGAGTTATCCACTTGGCTTGTGCTATGAGTTGAAGTTTAATTCAATTGTACTGGTTGTCTGAATCTTCCCAGTGATGTCTTGGAGTGAATATTAACTTTGAAATATAGTTATATCGAACTGATGATTTTTAAATAAGATGAAAGGCACATCTTGGGTTCCACTGCTACCCACCTTCCATATATATTTAAAATTTTGACGTTATAGTTAATAGATCTGCATTCATTTATACCAATAATATATAACATAAATTCATGTTTTATATTATATTCAAATATAAATGAATAAACATAATACATCATGTAGACACAAAAAATGGTTCATAATAAACTGGATATTAGAAAACTAATAATTCAACTGCTTTTATTTAATGTTTAAAGTAATTTAAACGTTAGTTTATCCAAATGTTATTGATTAGTAATTAACTTTAAATCTTTCAATATTAATAAATTTATTTACTCAGTAAACAGAAACTAAATGCGGTCATCCCGATTTACTTTAGTTGATTAAATAATATAACATGTTTTTTTTCTACATAAAATTCTAAAATCAGAAAAGGGTGTTTATGGATATTATATTGATTTCAATAGTTGAGTTCATGAATCAAATGAAACTAGACAACCATGAAAAACCTAAAAGTACTGGACGGTCGTTTCGTCCTATCATGGGACTCCTCAGCAGTGCTCATATGCGACCCGCTCCGCAGGATTTCAACCTAAGATCTATTGGTCTTGCGCGCGAACGCTTAACCTCTAGACCACTGAGCCTAAATCATTTAGATAAAAGCTTTAAATTTTGAACTATTTATAACTAACTCATTAAAAGTTCTTTTTTGATAGTATGGAAATATATGTTCAGCTATTAAGAAAAAAATTTTCGCTTTACGAGAAAATAAATGCAATTAACGTTTCGCACTATTTATGTGAATTAATATTTACTAAGTGTTATAAAATAAGTAAATAATAAAGGTAAGTGACGGAAATTTTCTTATAGGGTTCATTTATTTTCTGTGTTCAAGTTAACAGTCATGTATCGTAACCTAATTTCTTTTTCAATACATCAACATAACTGTTAAAGAATATATATTATTACTGGAGAAGGCTTGTAGGAATTATTAAATTTTATAGTTAACATCATAGATTGATTCTAATTAAACAATCCTAGCCTCATAGCACTGGATACCTACCTTGACCTAGTATGGCACTCGACATCAGGGGATTGACGTCCAATGGTTTACATAATAGGACCGAACAATTGTCCAATGATTTTTAGCTTTCAATGGTTGATCAACTAAGATAAGTGATTGATATCAACTTAGGAAGATATACAATAACGTTTTGTTTCACTTGTTTAAGTGGTTAACTAGTACATTCATATATATGTACTAATTCATTAACTAGACATCTCACTATTCTATATCATTAATTCGCAACATAACAGAACAATAAAATTTAATTAAAGACTGTAAATTGAAAACTGTACTGTAATTCAATTAATTTTTATTGGTTAATGTGTTTTACCCTTGTCAAAATTTATCATAATATTATTGTAATGAACATCATTACTGCTTTTATGATAGTTTTTTTACTGTTTAACATATCAGATAGATTTTAGAAAGAAACCTGTTTCAGAAAAATGAAATTTGAGAAATAGAAAAAAAGACAGTGAAGAAGGCAAGAACTGAAGAAGTCTCCCTCTCCCTCTCAAAAACATCGTATATATATGTATATATAAGCTGGTTTTGAAGGTAAAATAATTCAGAACAAATGATACCCTGTATTGAACGTAATTTTGTATGTGTTTGAATGTGTAAATGTTTCTATCTTTTAAAAGATTTTTAACTTATGCAAAAATAAGTATATAGTAGTTCTTTTACAGTTCAGTCAGTTTATGTTTGAATCCTTTTTGAAATTTATTTTATTGAAAGTTAAAACAAATTGTGTAAATAAGAATAAAAAGAATGAATAGTCCTGGGGGGTTTTTTGTTTTGTTTTGGTTTTTTAGAATTTTCACCATGAATAATGTAAATACAATTAAGTAAGGTAAGCATGCCTATTAGATTAGTATTCATGAAGAACAATAAACTATATGATGAATTAATATTAATACAAAAAAAACAATACAGAAGAGAAGAGAAACACTTTTTCAGATCTCTTATAAATAGAAATCAACAGTAAACAAATAAATTATAAGTTACCATATAATTTGTTTCAAGTACATTCAGGTGTTTGTGTGTATTATTTATATGTGTAAGTGAATTATTTCCCAGCTTTCGTTTTTCACTTTTCCCTAATACATGTCATTTCCATATACTTATTTATATTTTACTTAAATCTACTCTGTCTATTCAAACACCGGAAATAAACCGCATATTTTTGCCCATTTATTTTGTTTTGTCTTTTTGTTGTTGTTGTTCATGATAATAATGATTGAAGTCAAAGAAAAGAAATAAAAAACTTTACATTCATTCATCAAGAAGAAATAAAAGAGGTTTTTCAACAACAACAAAAATATTTGAAATATTCTTCAAATGATCCAGATTTATTTATTTTTGAAGAATCATTATTTGGTTGAACCAATAGTACTTAAACAAGTTGAATAAATATTAATACCATCATTTTCAACTACATCGTTATTTTTACGTGCTGTCATTGATGGTGATGGTGTGGTTACAGTATTTATGCCTAAAATTGTATCATCTGACATACTACTATTATGAATAATTGAACTATTAGTAGTAGTTAAAATGTCTTCAGAGTTCATAAAACTGCTACTGTCTGTATCATTGATACGATAATTTTTAGGTGAATATGTTGTTGTTGGTGTGGCATTATAATGCGATGGTATAAGATTAGTATTATAATTTGTCGATAATGTAGACATTGTATCAAAATTATTGGAACCATAATTATGATATGAAAGATGATTTAATAAATATCCATTTGATGTGTCAAAAGAGTTAGAACATGGCATCACGGCGGAATAACGAGGATTATTTTGATGCTGTTGATGATGATGGGTAGTATCACTATTATTGTATGCAGTATTTACTGTTGTATAATCTATTCCAGAGCTATTAAATGGATTATTTGTTAATATATTACACATTGAGGATGAAGAAGATAAATTCGCAGGAATTTCATTTACGTCATCTGAATATACTGAACTATGGGGTAAACGATTATTTACAATGCTTACACGATCTGGTAGCGTATAATCTGTTGGAATGACAAGTGAATCTATTCCATTAGTCTTTGATGAAATATCACCAACGCATTGATCACTACGATTATTATTAGTAGTAGTAGGGAATCGAATCAAATTATCTTGGCTCGATGAATTGTTTACCATGGAACTATTGCCAAAACCGACAGAAGCTGCAGCGGCTGCGGCAGCAGCGGCTAAATAAACATCATTTGATGTAGGATGATTTGAGAATCCTATAAATAATAATCATAGTAATAATAACAATAATGACAGTAATATGTGTTTATTCTTTATTTTTAATTTAAGAACTCTAAATTACTTAATGTAATACAAAGAAAATGTATAATCCTTTGAAATATAAATTTTTACATTTTCCAAATCTCCTTAAATATTTCAACTTATCTAAAGCATATAATCATATGATTTATGTAACATAATTACAGAGAATTGTTCATTCAACAAAGCAAGTTACTAACTTTTATTTTAGGGTATTTATTGGTTAGAAATAATCATATAGATATATGAAAAGTGTTCACTTCTCTTCAGAGTACACATAGATTTAATAAATTGTATGCATTTCTCGGTGCCATTATGCATCTCTTCATACCTTTTATCATATACATGAGGTTCATTAGGATTTGAGATATAAAAGAACTAGTTGATTTGTCGCTTGATGAAATTGAAATATCTCATCATGTAAATGATTAGGAAGATAGGACCAATCTAATAATGATATAAGTCAATACATATTTAACAGTATGACTCCTAGTACTAATGTAGTGTTCAAGAACATTACAGTTAATACCTCATTTACAAAATATCCTTCAACTGTCTCAAGCTTTATTGTTCTTTCATTTCCATACCAATCACTCTCTGTTCTCGTTCTCTTCTCCTCGATCTTCTCAACCTATTGCCATCAGGCATTCCACTTGTGATTGGTGATACATACTACTTATATCTGTCGACACCAGTGGCGCACACCACACTAACAGTTATGAGTATCCTGTTTTTATTCAAGATATACCTGATTACATATTATTTTCATCACATGTTGTTATCGTGTGGGTTTAAAATTTAATCGCTGGATAAGTGATCAGTTTTAGACATTCATGTTTATAAGTAGACTGTGAGGACGGTCCACGGGAGAACTCGAGAAAGCTTTAAGAAGCTCAGAAAGAGCACAAACCATAAGTTATAACATAGATCTTTATAAATAACTGAATTCTTTTTTGACTTTATATTTTATTTTTACTTAGGTAATGGTAAAACACAACGAAGATCCAATATCGTTTAAAGTCTCAAATTGTGGGTTAATTTTTAAAAATAATCATTAATTTAATCAATCTCATTATAAACTATAAGAAATAACTCTACTAGGTTAATAAATCTTAAACTTTATATCCAACAGCAGTTTAATGTTCTAACTATATTTGTTAGAATGGGAGATCACGCTCAACATAACTTCTGTATTTAATTCTATGTGATAACTTCTCAGTATAATATTAAAAATTATTTTGTGTGAACTTCATGCAGTAAACTGTTTTGTTGTAATTCTATATATTTCCCTTCTATATGGTATTTATAAACTTAACGTGAAATGTGACTAAAACCAATATTGTAATGAGTTTATTGGTTAAAGAGTGATTGAAATGCTTTGGAAAGTGGAATAAATATACATCTACATCACTTTTTGTCCTCTTATTTACGTTATGAGAATCACATCAATTCCCTTTTCAAAGTAACCTGTGGTTTTAATTATTTAACCGTTAATAAGTTGAATATATCCTTACCAGCTACTGCAGCGGCTGCAGCTTGAGCTGCTCTGGTATAAGCTGAATACGGTGGACCACTTTCCATATAGTCTATACATGGGGGCATATTGTCACTGATTGAATAACCATGTGGTCCTGTATATTAAAGAATTTAAAAAATTTTTTAAAAAATCTAAAACGAAAATATTTAATAAAAGTACAATAATTCAATGAATAAATGACTTCCAACTAATAAGCAAAATTGTATCAAATTCAATTTGTTTCTAATTTAAATTAAATTATTCTCTCTGATATGATCTAGTTTACTAAGTAAATAAAAGTATTAATCAACATTTCAATTATTATAAACTGGCTGTCAAGACCATTCTATCATATTAGAAAAAGGGTATAAAATTCTTAGTAAAATATTATCCTACTAATTAGGTTGTGATAAACTTGCAGATTTTCATATTGGAATAAATGAATGAAAATTATGTCAATTTATTATGTTGATATAAATTGGAATCGTCATCTTAAAATATGTTGATATTTATTTCATGAGACTGATTGCATGAATTATTAACTAATTAGTATCAGAAAGGAGTTTTGTGGATATTATAGTAATTTCTGTAGTTGAGATCATGAGTCGATTGGAGCTAGACCACCATGGAAAACCTGGAAGTATTGGACGGCCGTTTCGTTTTATTGTGAGACTCTTCAGCAGTGCGCATCCACAACCCCACCTCGCGAGATTTGGACACAGGACCTATCGGTCTCGCGCGCGAGCGTATAACCTCAAGACAAATGAGCTGACAACCGACGGATGTTAATGCCTAACTTTAACTAATCCACGAAATTAGGCGTCACATCCATTATTGTCTTCGGTGAATTACTATCTTATAACAGACCCGGTTGAACTCCACTGACTAATTCTTGATGAGAAGAAGAACAAAGAATTGAGTAGGATATAAACCATACGACAGTTTTGATCTTAAAAGCTTATAGACTGTAAACAGGTAATAAGAATCTAACGAAATAAAATGAATTCATGATGTTCTATGCAATTCTTTGTTTTTGCTGTCTTCAATGTAATACAGAGAACCAATTGTATGATATTAATCAGTCACTCAATCCATTGTTTCTTGATCAATTAGACTATGAACAAGGAAAATGATCATTCTGTAGTTTGATCATCACACCAGTGAATGAGTTTTGCGCCTGACTGATATCTAGTATAAGTCTACTGAATATACTTCCTTCAAAAATAATGTCATTTCTTCAATTAGGTGACAAAATAATTACCACAATATCACTTAATGTAACCTGATTAATCTACAACAAGGCAAACTGCACGAGATTGATAAGTAGTATTTATCTAAGTCAAGTATATTTAACATTCCAAACTTCAGGTAACTATATACAAGACTAGCAGTCAGATAACAAGATAAACCAAATAATTAGAAGGAATTTATTTCATCTTGTAAAATTAACATAAGTGCTCAACGTCTGCATGTCATTACATTGCAACTGAAATCATCCATGGAATTAAAATCATATATCAGTGTTTTCAGTTCCAGTTCTTCAAATAAACATGTTTATTAATGATTATATGTAAGATAATCAAAAATTATTCTCCACATTAATATATTTCTCACCTGCTCTATTAGACTGATCAATCATAGGTTGTACAATTCTTCGACGTGCATTAATAAACCTAAATGAAGAATATAATAAAAATATCAAATAGGAATGAATAATTATTTAAGCAATGTTGTTGATCGAGTTCATATTTATCTTTGTATTCATATTCTTATAAGTATATTAAAATGAAAGTGGCCTTTAAACTTTATAGAGATAATGAATGTTTCGTTGATGGATAGTCTTTAAACTCATTCTGAAATACATTTAAATATTTCTTTTGAAATACCGTATACTGAAGTTTACTCTGTATTAAATTATGAAACGTACAATTCGAATCATTTTAGGTGAGATAACACATATCATAAAAAACAAAAGATAACTGATCGTTTCTAAATTTACTCATCAAAAGGTTATATACAGAATTAAAGTAATTTACATCATCAGCAGCAAAGTTATTTCGTCATTGTTTATGATACTTCATCAGAATCTACACAGATTTCATACATGATCATATATTACTTTCAAATCCCTTGAGTATAACAAACGACTACTAGTCAATGTGCTGATATTTTACCATTATAAGTTTGATTTGTGCATGAATTGTTGAATATATACTGATAAGTAAGTTTAAACTACTATAAAGTATTTAGTTTTGATCAAGATTGTTTGCCATTATTTCTGAGCCAAAATCGTCGAATGTCGAAAATTCCCTCCGAATAACAAAACATTACTGAAGAAACTACCGGGAACATTAAGAAGAAAAACATACGATATATTTACATTTTTAATGTCTAATAAATAAACTTGGTGTATACCAATTCTTTAAGAAGATTAACTTGTTAGTTTGTTAACTTACAGATTAGGATTAATAAGCTACGGAGTTAAAGGGAATTTCAGAACTTTATTCATAATGTGTCGTAATAAAAACTTGTTTATTGAATCAATCTCTTCTGTTTTATTGAATTTTTTAGCAATTCGAATATTTAACCTTAAATATTGTGGTGTATGCTATTTATGCTGACAGGTATAAGTAGTATATGGCTCCAGCTGGAAGTAGAATGCCTGCCAACAGAAGATTGACTTGAAGAGGACATCGAAGAAAACAGAGAGCAGTTATGAAAACAACAGAATTGGAGGGATCACAAAATATGTAAAGGATAACTGGTGGAAGATATGCAACTAATGTATTTAATGAATGGTTTTCATATTGGCACTATATAATTCTGTAGTAAATAATAAGTTGGTTTCTACCCACCGGAGTTCTTGTTCACTACAGTACAATATATAATGTTAACAACACATGCAATTAGTCTAATCCATGTTATTGTGTAGTTAAATAACATATTCAATTAAGTTTTTAGCTAAGCAAACTTAAAATAAACATGAATGAAACAATACTGATTTAACTTACCAATTATTTACTTGTAAAATAGTTAATCCTGTATCTTGAGCTAATTGTTTCTTCTGTTCTTCCGATGGATATGGATGCTTTATAAAAATAAATATTACATATATAGTATATTACTCAAATATCTACTTTCATTCTATATACAACAGTAAAAGTAATTGATGGCTTAATGGTATAAACTATCATGAAGTACAGGATTCATACTGTATATTATTTTCAATTCGTCAAATGATCATATTAAGATATCAGTTTGTAATGTCATTTTAAATAATACAGATTAAGCTAATGAACTGAATTAAACAATACTAAGATAAATTTAATGGTTGAGACCATGAGTCAATTGAACCTAGACCACCATGGAAAACCTGGAAGCACTGAATAACTGTTTTGTTCTATTGTGGGACTCGTTCTATCCCTTCTGATACTAAGATAGATAAACATTAGTTTTACAGTCTACTGGTTTTCTATTCTCTAACATACTTACCAGATGATCAATATTTAGACGAAATGATTTTTAAGTATATACTTTTTAACAATGCACATCCTTGTCTAATTACATACATCAATTTCTATTGATAAGGAACCTTATTTATCAAATTGACAGAATATGATTTCAAGTCGAAGTATTTTTTTTTGAAGTAACCAATGATTAACACTTGAACTGAAAGTTACTCAACCACAAATAATGAAATGCTTAGAAAGAAATTTTTACTATTTTCCTAAGCAGAAAATATGATTATTCCCTATAATTTTGTAAATAAGAAAAAGAAAACTCATCATTTGAATCAAGTTAATCCGATGATGCATAAATACTGACAAAACATATATTGAATGTTTTTTTCTTTTTAATTTATTGTAATCCAGCAAAATAGTGTCATAAATAAACATTGTAATCAGATATCATCAAACATGATTGAAATACTAAAAATACATTTCATATATCTGAGTCAATTCATTGACTATATTATCGGAATACAATCTATTCAAAGAACTGACTGTGACAACAAACAATTGAGAAATTTCTTAATTAATATCAGAAGAGGTTATTGTACATAATATAGTAATTTCAATAGTTGAGATCATGAGCTGGATCACCATGTAAAACCTGGAAGCAGTAGACTGCCATTTCGTCCTATTTTGAGACTGATAACTTTTAGGTTTGAATCTGGCGAGATGGGCTAAGTGATAAGTTGTGTGTTCAATCATTCATTTTGTTTGTAATATTTGTGAAACTGGATATGAAGTCATACATAAACCTTATTACATTGTTATAATTCATTATAAAATTATATCAACTAAGCTGACAAAAAACCATCAAACTATTTTCAAATAGGAAACGTTAGACTGTATATATTCAAAAATACTAAAAAAACTTTAGAACAATGTACTTTAAAAATATCATTTATCCATAGGTATTTACAACTTACTGTTAAATGTTGAAAAAGCCATGCTCTCATGATATTTGTAGCAACTTTTGGAAATATTCCACGCTTTTTTTGCCTTTTTAAATCATTTCTAGTTTCCGAGTCCAATTCTTCCATAACATCTTTTTGTGATCCTATGAAGTCAATAACAAAAAATTGAAGACATTTTAAATAGACCCATAAAATTTCTTTTCATATGTAAGAACAAGATTTATTACAGTTTAGAGAATTAAATCTAGAAACATAAAACATAAATTATTTTCAATTAGTTTTTCATCATGGCTCTACACTAATATATATATATATATATATATATATATATATATATATATATATATATATGGTTTACAATAATGATCCATCGATTACTTTTACACTAGAGGAAGAACAAAATAATAGCATATCGTTTCTAAATGTCCGACTAACTAGAAGAGCATATGGAACATTGAAAAGAGGGATACATAGAAAGTCTACAGTTGGACAATACACTAATTTCTATAATGCTATACCAATGATATACAAAAGAAACTTGGTACAGATCCTGACTCATCGTGTTAAAATGATTTGCTTGGATGACATTATTGTAGATCAATTGGTTAATATTTTTAATTTTCCTAGTATGGATTAATACCAAACGAAATTCATCGAAAAACACATGAAAAGAAGGATAAGGGTAAGTACCGTTTCGAAGAAAGTACTACCGTAGAAATTGTGACTTAAAAGTTAATAAAGGCGGTACAGAAAACATTTAATGCAACCAGACTGGGTGTCGTATTCTACAACCGCCCTATAATAAGAATGGTTAATAAAAACATATTGCCTGAATTTGCCACATTCATATGCATTTAACAATTAAACCGCTCCTGTGGAGCCAGTTATATAGGGCGTATAATTCGGCAAGTCCGTCATCGCATAACAGAACACCAACCATCTTGGTTAAGCAAAGGACAGGCAAGAGTGATTAAGAGTTCTATTCTCGCTCCCTTGATGGACACAAATCATCAAGTTGAATAAAGCTTTTAAGGTTATCCACCAAATTCCATCAAATCTGCCACATGGTTTATGAATCCATTGGAATACGTAATCATAAACCAAACCTTTGCATCCAAAAGAAGTTTGTACAACCACTCTTGCTACCTTGGCCAGCGGTATGGGGGAGCTTGCAGCAGAACATTAATAAAGTATTTTCATATTTTTTCCATCTTTTGTATTTTACTTATTCTCAACATTTGTCTTTTGATTTTTACATAATTACTACACTACTGACCATTCATCAAAATATTTTGTTAGTTCCTTCTTCATTTTTATATATTATGCAACGTAGCATTATCATTTCATTATATATATATATATATATATATATATATATATATTAGTGTAGAGCCACGATGAAAAACTAATTGAAGAGAAGTCTGATGGTGATGATGACGATGATGATGAAACTATGTAATCCCGAAGGAATACAAAATATAGAAACACCAAAAAACACACTAGGTCGATAATTGGAAGCAGACACGAAAGAGTTGAACAGCAACTGAAAGCAATAGGAAAGGGTTGTCCAGGACAAAGTTGTATGTAGAATGCTACTGGTCGGCCTATACTCCTTCATGAGGGGTAACAGGAGTAAGTAAAGTAGTAAGTAAGCATAAAATTATTACTGCCCTAAGAATCATTAAATAAAATATATTTCTTACCACAGACTTCAATTGTTATTCGTAGATCTTCGTACTTAGTTCAATTAAAAGAACAATTTTAAATTAAATTCTTAACTAAAGTTATAAAAGCACTAAACATTTATTTCAATATTGATTAAACTTAACAAATGAACTAGGTCAATGATGTAAATGATTATTTGATTCTTGTGATATGTAAAATGAATTGATTTGCATCATTAACTAATTGCAGTAATTCTGTAATGATCTTAAACTAGAATGAAATAACTTTGCAGTACTTTCAGCTAATTCTTGAAGTGTATGTTTTATTGTAATTAGAAATAGTTTTAACGAAAAATTCAGAAAAAAGACGGAATGATCATAAGAAGGTTAATATTCTGTATTTTTCTCTACAGTCATTTAAACTTCCCAGTATTATGACCACACTTATGATGATTTATGTTATATGAATAAAGTGTAAATTGCATATTAATCATTGTTACAAACACCAACAAAAGTAATAATCAGTAAGTAGTATTCTTGAACACTTGATATTTCATCATCACAATCTCGATTATTGTTACCATAATTCGTAAAACTGAACATTGCCAGATTCCATCTTGATTTTATCAGATTATTCATACAGTCTTTTTTTAAGAAAAAGGCCTGTAATAAACTCAACTATAAGCTTCTGTACATAGAAATGTATGCTTCCTCTGTTATGTTTAGTTAACATTACTTTACGTTATCATCTACGTTAAATTATGTCCCCTTTCTAAAATTACATACTGAATATTAGGTTGAAAAAAGTCTGAGGAATATCAATATAAATCTTGATTTAAAAAGACCAAGAACAAGTAAATGAAAAAAGAACAGCATAACGAAACTTTTGCTTATTTCTCCTTGTCAAGTCGGACATCAATCATTGTCATTTTACTGGTAGGCATAACCAGAAGTGATGTATGTATGTGTGTGTGTGTGTAGAAAAACTGAAAGACAAGTTTTCTATAAATAGAAAGGTCGCGTGTTTATTTTAAATGAATTGTAGAAATAAAATATATTTATACAAAAATATGAGCAAAACAAAAGCGGTAACAGTCATAACAAAAAATATTTAATAAAACACAATTAAAAATAGAACAAAGTGATATACATCCGATTGTGGTTTACTAATAGTAGAGGGAGTGAAAATATTTAAAAGTTTCATGCATATCTATTAGATACTCAAACACAAACTCAAAAAAGAAACGTTGATGTAGTAATATTTCTATTATGATTAGAGTGACAAGCAAAAAAATAATTATAAACCAGTTAGTATAATTTCACCATGATAAAAATGTGATTTAACTCATGAAAATTGAACAGATAAATGATAGATATGAATGTAAGTCTGTAAACATGAGTATTTATAATGTTTACTAATTTGCCCATTTGTAATGAGGTGACAAAAGAATCACAAAAAAAGAAACTTAAGTCAAATTATAAACCAGATGGTAATCTGACTATTTAATTCTTTATCACACAACAAAAATAGCACTTCTGGACATTTATTTATCAGTAAATTATCTTTAAATAAATATGGAATCACGAGCTAACATAATTTGATGAGTATGATGTTTCTGTTTGTATGTATGTTATTTATCTTAGATGAAAGAAAATCTCACTCCATATGGTTATTACTATATTACTGTAATGATCATGATTTGGAGGGCGAAAATCTGAGAATGATGCTAATATGTTTATTGTTTGTATATGTGCGGTTAAGTTTTCGACCGAATATTAAACAAATAATGGAAATGGGTAATTCAATTTTTATTTTAATATTTAAAAAATGAAGTTGATATTAATGATTGTTGACAAAATTGTTTTAAGAGATTAGTTTGAGTGTTTAATTGTAGTAATAACATTTAAATAAACTTCAAAAATTGACAATAAGTCTCAGATTTTATATTTTAAGTGACAGAAGATAAATATTGTCGAGTACTCCGTTAAATAGTGACAGAATAGTTGGATAATACTCTTTAGTTTTCCAAATGCTTTTATGATAATATTGTCTTCAAACTGGTTTAATAACTTTAAACTACTCAGTTTCAAAACCGATCATTTTCGTCTTGAATCATCTGAACAAAAAGGATGTCATAACATATTTTGTAAAGTTAATTGAGATGACGTAACGGATCTTCATTAGTAGTTTGGAATAATAATGTTCTGAAATGTTAAATCTTTTGACTTGGTATCCTATAGCATTATTTTCTACAAGGATTATTGTGTTACATTAAAAAGGAAGAATGTATTCGTGAAATCTCAGTGAATCAATTTGAAGTAAATCCAACTTTTCGCCTGACAATCTGGTCCAACCTTTTTCACGGAAATATAATCAAACATCAAAATTATAGAATATAAATAGGTACATGGTTCTCCGGTTCACTATATACTGAATAGATAATCCAATCAACATTAACAATGTTTAAAGTAGGTTTTTACATAGGATTTAACAAATACATTCTTCCTCTTTAATGTCTCACATCAAATCGGTGTCCAAATACTGTGAAACTGTACGATCAGATTTAGACGAAAGTTCTTAGAAATTATTGTGTTAGATTACATTGTTTAAAAACGTTTAAGACTGAACCTATTTATACACCATTTAAAAATATAGAAAAAAACATTTCAAAATCTCAGAAGAATATTACTTATCGTCACTGTGAAACATTCGACAGTAATATAATCAAATGAAAACAGAATAATAGGTGAGTATGTGAATTACTTGTTGAAATCATCAATAAAAACAGATATTAAGTTCAACGTGAATCAACTGCAAGATTGGATTTATGAAAGGTCAAAAGTAATATACTACGGAGTTACAGCACAACTGTTTTTTCAAATAGTTGATAGGTAGTTAGTAAAAAACTAGAATTTCAAGGGTATAATTTCGAAAGTAACTAATCTATTCATCATCATTCATCTGTGTTATTTATTTTAGATGCCTAAAAATCATTTTCTATCCATGGAAAAATACGGTTAAATTAAACATTACTCAAAATTAAAAAATGAATGTTTTTATCCATCTTCCTTTAAAAAAAACATGAAAATAAAACACAAAGAATATAGATTAGAAGAATTCAATAAAAGTAGTAGGGTTTCAGAGGAAGATTAGGGGAAGAGAGTAAAGGTTAAAAATAGAAGTAGGAATATCTTAAGTGTTCTAAATGTTTTTTTAATTCATCATGAAATTACACGTATGATAAGGGGGTCTTGACATCATTCCATTTGAAATAGAATAGAATGTGTAAAGTAGTACAGTATAAGTGAATAAGTGGGTATGTGCATGGTGTATGTTACCGATTTAGATGATTAATTCATTTTCCAATTCATTTAACTGTTTATTGACTGGAACCGTTTAACCCCTTATTCATTTAAAGGATAAACCAACTTAATCAGTAAATAAATAACCAATATAATACACACAAACACCCGTAATT